TTTAAGTGGTTTTATGCATATCAGCCCTGGACAAGGACAATTTTGATAAGAAATAAAATTTTACTATATGAGATTTGACCATATGAAAATCGTATTTTGATAAGTACAGCAACAAATACATGTACAGATAAGAACGGGTCGTCGATACAAAACCAAATCTTGCTTCATGAAAATTACTTCTTCGAATTTTATTTCCCTTTTCAAACTCGTTTGAGGAATTTATTACTGGACAAGAACGAGTTAATTTTAAATGGGGGAATAAATCTTACTTAATGAAATTTGAAATTAGATCGTACGTTTTTTTTTTCACAAATAGGCTATCGCTAAAAAGATAAAAGCTTTAAAAAATAATTATTTCAGAATTCCACTCGTAAAAGAAATGTTTTACTGGACAAGAATGAGTTTTAATGGCGCAGCATTTTTTTAAAATAAAATTTGCTTATGTAAGCTGTCTATTAATAATGTTCAACTCTATCAGGAGTTTTAAGCAATTTAGGCGGAAAAAAATGTCTTACATGCGAAGCCTAATTTGATATTCTATTTCACGAAAATAGTGATTCTTTTTGTAGATTTAGAACCGTACGGTGACCTATAGTTGTTACCTTCTGTGTCATTTTGGTCTCTTGTGGAGAGTTGTCTCATTGGCAATCATACCACATCTTTTTTTTTTATTTAGCAAAAGTTAATCGTGCATGTCTTATAACACATGTTAGAAGCAGGGATCCAAAATAGGATCGGGAAAAAACAGGCAAGTGAAATATCATAATTTCAAACATTTAAAGTGCCTTTGTTTGATTATCTCCGGTTATATCGATAATCTGACGGTATTAGAGTACAAATCCAGACTTTGCCTACATCAGCTTCATCTGAACTTTGGTGGATATTAATAGTGTTATAGTTGTCTCATTGTCAATCGAACCGCATCTCCTTATTTTTATTCAGTCTAAAACTGGAAAATTTTAGCTGCGATAGGCATTTATTTTAAAAAAACCCACAATAAAGCATTTACTTAAAGAGACCGTTATAGCCTGTTAACTCATTTTCGTTTTTTTTTTTTTGGGGGGGGGGGGGGGGGGGGGCATTCATATACCGTTGAAAAAAGGGGTAGTTTTAGGGTGTTTATAGCTTACCGTAAGGTTTTAATCATGGTTCAACTTATTCTAGTGACTTTTATCCTTGCCAAAAATCAATCTAATCCAAACGGTCGTAACTTTTCAGCAAGGTTTACTGTCGAGCGGGAAAAGTCAAGAGATGACAATATTTCTATACTCAAGTCAACCCTTTGGTTTCGAATGAAAAAAGGATAATGGTGAGACAACAACCCAACGACACAGACAATCCATTCATTTTTTTAATCTCTATCAGTGGAAATCATAACAGGTACATGAAATAAAAATCAGTACAAGAAATTTCACTATATATTAACGGTAGAGTAGATGATGAACGTGGATCTTTGTTTTTGATCATTAATGCCACTTGCTTAGCGGAGGAACAGCAAGTACACATTTTGACGTCTTTGGATTGACTAGGCCGGGGTTTGAACCCACGACCTCCAGCACTAAAAACACTACCACGAGAAATCCGAAGCAGTCAGAAAAATTGAATATCATACCAACAAACTAAAGTGCAATAAATCATCCAATCTCAAAGAACTCTCCCTTTTACTTAAGCCAGCAAAAAGTATTTAACCAATTGATATCATTGAAAACTTCACTTGAATATCGATGGTCGACTTCAGAGTAGATTTCATGTACGAACGCTTTATTGTGGAACGCCACAGCTGTGTTATGTGGAACTCTTATATTACGTTATGTTGTTTTATTATTACTTGATGATATATTGTCTTTACATAATGATGTTTTGATATATATAGATTATAACATGGCATTTTTCATATCAGACCCCTTATCAGCCCTAGGTCATGATATCAGCCCGAGAGCCGAAAGGCTCGAGGGATGATTTTGACCATGGGCTGATAAGGAGTATGATATGAAAAATGACATGTTATGTTCTTTTATCATATACTTCAGCAGAAGCCATACAGACATGAAAACTTTTTTAAAACTTTATAAAATTCATTTATTGTATTATTTGTTTTGCGTTTTTTAATAATATATTTTCCTGTTTCCTAATATTCCTTCTGTTATTCTACTTGGCTATCTTTTTCACTGAAATGTTCCACTGAGGTTTATTTTCCGGAATTTGCAGAATGACGTCGAAATACTTTGCGATTACGTTAAAGAAAGGCATGCGATAATAACCGGAATCAGTTGATATAAACCGGAAACAGTTGATATATACCGGAAGCAGTTGATAACAAAAGTCATATCACACGGCTAAGACAATTCTTCAAATTTATTGAATAAAAATATGTATAAATTAGTTTTATCAAGGGGTACAATTATACCATTATTTTCTACAAGTATATGATAAAACTCAATATGGCATAGTCATTACTTAATCCTTAATGATATTTCGATATTTCACGATATGGTTTCGTATTGACTTGATATAGTTTTATCATTACTTGGAATGGTTTTGTCATTAATCAATGTGGCTTTGTCATAAGTCGATTTGGTTTCACCATTATTTAATGTGGTTGTTTCATTAGGCAATGTGGTTTTAACATTACTTGATGGGTATGTGACTTAACGTACTGTAGTTGTTTCATTACACGATGTGGTTTTGTTGTTTCGTAATGATGATTTGCCAATTCTTTATATGGTTTTAACATTACGTAATGATGTTTTAAAATTTGACGATTTGACACTACATGATGAGTTTGTTTCAGTATTTGATGTGGTCCTTTCATTCTTTGATGTGGTTATCACATTACGTGGTGGAGGTAAAACCACGTGACCATTTCGGAAAAACTAGTTCTATTTTTAAACAGATTTCACTATGTCGTTTGTTTAATGTCCTTTGAATGAGTTTCGCCATCCATTGAGTTCAAGTTCAAATTAAAGTTCGACTTGTTGTTCAGAGTTATTCGGTATGAAAAAGGAGAACGGCAGACAAAAATAAGAAAAAAGTACTAAACAATGTACAGTCTTTCGGCCATACGGGGGATATCCCTAAACAATTTGGTCCTGCCGTTTTTCTTTCTTTCTTAGTTCTCAAATGGAAGCAGTATATATAATAATTCGTGAAAAATTCCACGGAATTCTCGTCTTGCCTAATATTGCTGCTGTCAGTGTAAAAGCGTAATGTTGACTGTACATTTATTTGTACATTTATCGGTAAATACAAAATTAAAAAAAGAAATGTTTTTCTGTAGATGCTTTATCTTGATCTTGAAGAATAACTCCTATACAAGTTTTATACTAATCCATTGAGTTTTTCAAATTTATCATACCAAAACAGTCTAATTCGGTAATATTTAATGCAAAAAAAAACCTATATAGAAATAAGAAAATGTGGTATGATTGCCAATGAGACAACTCTCAACCAAATATTTACCACATGACGTAGAAGTTTGAAACAACTATATTTGACTGTATAGTCTTCAACAATGAGCAAAACCCATACCACATAGTATGCTATGAAAGGTCCCGAAATGAAAAATGTAAAAACAATTTAAATGAGAAACCTGACAATCTAAATGATGAAGACGCCGACGCCACTAACCACAACGAAATATAGGTTTGTTGTGTCTCACTGCCGCTACATAAATGTCCCAGGTTCAACACAAAGATCAAAAGACTTGTACTTTATTGTCGGCAATGAGACACTTTAAATCAACTCACACTAAAGTTACAGGGAAATGGGGGGATCGGAATAAGCGACAAACATCAATTCTATAAAATATGATTTTTTTTTTTTTTTTTTAGCGTGTATAATTATTTGAACATATACGAATATCAATCTGTTATTAATATAAATTGCATACTCTGATATATATCGCACTAATTGAAACAACAAACTTTTTGGAATATCTGTTTCACAATTGACGACGGATATGTTCCAGTTTTCGTACCACAACCCCGTCCTCTTTTCCTCGAACGGGAACTACCAAATAAAACCAAATCACTGGGATTAAAATTTCACGAATAACACGACGGCTACCACACGTTGAGCAGAATCTGCTTAACCTTCTGGAGCACGCGAGATCATCACCAATGGAGTTATATTACCATGTAATACCGATCTATTGATTTAAGCCTATTGGAACTTTTTTTTACATTTTCTTATGTTGTGCTGTTACATTACAGTCCGAGTTTAGGTTAGGGTTTAGCGCTCACATACATGTTAAACTCCGCCACGTGCACTTTCTGTATGTGCCTGCCCAAGCCACTTGAAGAACCTGTGGTTCAATGGTTGTCATTGTTTCATGTGTGTCAAATTTGTTTTTCGTAGATTGTTTTGTTATAAATTTGAATTGTTTCACATTTTCACGTGGTGGCCTTTTTAGCCTTTTTTTCCTATACGGTGCGTTGAAGGCTGTACGGTTGCCTATGATTGCTTACATCCATTACTGTGACATTCAAACTTTAGTGGATAGTAATCTCATTGGCAATCATTACACATCCAACTTTATTTCAATTTCTATGTTGTGTTTTGTATACTGTAACATTGTTTATGTTTTGTACAAATACCCCTCAGCCCTCTCTTCGGAAGCCCGAGCAAAAGCCCTTGATCTTCGATAGAAAAATTTAAATACCGTGACGAACTCATATTAGATAACTCCAATTTTAACTCGAAATCTTAATCTAAACGAAACTCATATTCGACTCTAACTCAAACTCTACCCCAGAAGGCTCCTCAAATTCAAAGTTGAAGTCGAATTCATTATTGTAACTCGAACGCTACCTTCGACTCAATCTTGAAATTGAACCCAAAACTCGAACTTTTATTCTAATAATGGCTTGAATTATAACTTAAATCGAAAACTTAACTCAAAGTTTAATTCGAAACTTTAATTTAAACTCTAACTCGATGGATGGCCACACTCATCCAAAGCACATAAAACATAGAAATCTATGATCTAAAAATAGAACTAGTTTTTCCGAAATGGTCACGTGGTTTTACCTCCACCACGTAATGTGATAACCACATCAAAGAATGAAAGGACCACATCAAATACTGAAACAAGCACATCATGTAGTGTAAAATCGTCAAATTTTGAAACATCATTACGTTATGTTAAAGCTATATAAAGAATTGGCAAATCATCATTACGAAATAACAAAACTACATCATGTAATGAAACAAATACATTACGTTAAGTCACATACAAATCACACTGTGTATCATCGCCACCGGAAATTGGGTACTAATGAAGCGGAGAGAAATGGAAAAAAAAAGTAAACAAGGTAAGAATTCATTCAATTTAAAGCATTTCTACTGATTTGACGAGGGTACCGCTTAAGAAATGATTTTCTGATATATATTTCTTTAATTTATTAGGCCGATAAGTACATAATTAAGACAATATTTTGTGTTATACTCCAAAGTTTGCCACTTAGTACCTGAAAATTTCGAGGTCGATTACCTCTGTCGCCCCATTGGCAAGATATGCAACTGTTTTTCATTATTTTTCCAGACACGTTTTTAGATTATGATAGTGTGACATCATATTGACTGAAATCTGTTGTCATAAAAGATGTTTTTAAAGAATATGGACCAAAACATTGTTTGTTTATTGTACGGCGAATTGCAGGACGTTGTACGGCGAATTGCAAAATAACAACTTTTGTCTGTACGGCGTCTTGCAATATATTGTAATTTAAAGATGAAATTAATCACTGTTTAGATAATATCAAGTGACGAAATTTTGGCTGTATCTAAGCTTTACCGGCTTACAAATATACAAAATAAACTACTTATCAAATATTATAAAATATATGCCGTTAATTTCGTTCAGAAGTCGTCGTTGCGTACCTCTATTTGACTTTGTGGTTTTAAAGACAAAAAGTTTTTTTTCAACCATATTATCCTAAATTCATTCATATATTGTTATAATACTAACGACTGTTGTCTTATTTGTTGTCAGGGTGAAATTTTGAAAGTTCAATAAAAAAACCGACCATTCATCTTTTGAACAGTAACAAAAGTGGAACAGTGGAGATGTTGTATGATTGCAAATAAGATAACTATCCACCAGGGTCAAATAAAGTGTATGTAAGCAATTATATGCTATCGTTTGGCCTTCAACAACGAAAAGTCGTACCTTACAGTCGACTATAAAAAGCCCCGACATGAAAATTGTGGAAGGATTCAACAAGAAAACTAACGGCCTAACTCATAACAAAACAATTTACGAAAAATAACAAATATGATAGAGATGAACAAACGACAACCACCAAACTACAGGCTCATGGCTTCGGACAGACACATAAAGAATGTGCTGGGTTAAATAGATATAGGAAGATGTGGTATGAGTGCCAATGAGACAACTCTCCATCCAAGTCACAATTTATAAAAGTAAACCATTATAGGTCAAGGTACGGTCTTCAACATTGTTTATTTTTTAAATTTCTGAAATAAATAGTTTGTTAAAAGAAGAGTGAAGAAAATACTTTGTTTTCATTGAAAATTAGAAGAAATAAATCATGAATTGTGTTTCGAATTAATTTTCTTGTTTCTTATTGAAAATAAGATTGTATTTTTTTTTTTAGTTTAAGTAAATTCAATCAATTTTTTTATTTACAGGGAAAAAATAATAAAAGACTGTTGCTAAGGCTGTTTGGCCTAAACTTAAATGAGTAGATGGAGACACAACCAGGAGGGGTAGTGAAAAGGAGTGTATTCGTCCGAATTTTCATTGTTACAGTAGTACATTTTCATGATTACTATGTATAATATTTCTCAGTAAATTTTAATGTGATATTGTGCCAATTAAAATTATATAATTAATACTAGTAAGACTTGCATTTGCCTTAAAAGATATAGCAGTACGTGATTATTTGTTTTCAAACACACCTTCTCTGTTTTGAAACTTATAAAGGTATGGATCTCGGCCTATCTGTTTGGTTGAATATAAATGTGAATTCATAGAGTTTCAAAATCAACAGTAAGCCCTATTTTTGTGTGTGTGTAAATAATCTAATCTTTAGATAGATGCTTAAATTAAAATCATTTTTCTTAATAAGAAGAAAAAAGTGCAACTTAAGCACGCCTGAATGTAAAAAGGTGTACCCGACTTATTCGTTCACGATAAGAATTTACCGATTTCGGTATTTTAACAAAACTGTTTACGAGGGCAAATAAATAAATGAACGCTATCAAATCAACATTTAAATTTACGTGGATTTTTCCAAAAGAATTTATGAGTATGCACCATCAGGATTCAAAAATATTTCAACCTGTCCTTATTAGATGTTATTTCATTATAATTCTTTAAACTTACAAGTCGAAGATGCTAGCTTTTGTGAATTGTATTAATAAGTATATAATATTAAGATGACAACCAAAAAAACTTCATACAAGGTAATCTCTATTCTCAAGTAGAAAGTTTATATAAATAGTTTATGCCGTAACCACAGCCGGATTCTTCTTTCATTCTTTCCAAAAATGATTAATCTAAGGTTAATATTTTTTTTAAATTTAAACAGTGTTAGCCACCGAGCTTGTTTATTTCTTACTATATAGAGATGAAGTTTTTTTTTTTTAAATTAACGTTCTTTATTCTAATATATTGGCTGTATCTGCCTTTTACAAATAAGACAATAACATTAATTGAAAAAGGAGACGTGGAATGGTTTTCACTGAGAGGACTTTCAAACAAAGTCCAAATGAAATAGATTTGACCAACTATTGGTTACTATACACTTCACAATGAACAAAACCCATACCGTATCAAAATTGCCTGATTTATGACAAAATCATAAACAAATATGTCAGGCAGCAACTTACGACAGCCGCTATATTGCATGTTCCTGACCAGGGACAGACACATATATATTGAGGCGGGCTTAAACATGTTTGTGAGCACTCAAACCTCCCTTAACATGGTGCCGTGGTGTAGCAATACAACATTTTTTTTTGCAGAGAATGATAATTCATTTATTTTTCATTTTATCTGAAAGTTGAAAGAGAATTCATTCACTTAATGGTTCTAAATATTCAATGCGGAAAAATTCTCCTGCCATAACCTCCTTCCTTCCCTCCACCTACAACCCATCCCCGAAATGTTCATCACTTATATGCAAATGCTGACTAATGTTATATGGTTAAAACATTTGGTTGAGGCAATCTAAAGTTTGAGAACAGAAACGACAGCTTTAGCCTTTTTTCATTTATAAAAGGGCATAACTCAAGAACGGTAACAGTGACGCTACCCAATTTATAACTTGATTTGTGTTTTGTGGTGATAAGCATTTCGTGTAAGTTTTAAAACATTTGGTTAAGGCATACTAAAGTTAGAAAACGGAAACCAATTATTGGGACTTTCTGGATGGACGGAAGAGACGGGTCGGACGGACATGGGTAACATTTAACGCTACGTCAGGACAGAAAAACAGGTCAGTATAAAAACAGTGACATGCCTTTCCGAAAGTTACAACATTTGCCAGCTTTTGTATATGCCGTAATCATATTGTATACATCAGGTATGTAAAAGATGTAATAGGACTGTGTTCAAGCCTTATATTGTGTATACATCTTAAATGGTGTCAAGCGAATTGTATTTTTATCAAATGCATAATTAGATATTTGAACCTAATACTTTATTTTCTTTAAAAAGACGGCAAATAAATATTTTGAAATTAGCAAGTTGCCATACAGTTGAAAACAAGTTGCCATACAGTAAATTTTTCAACATGAGCAAGTTGCCGTACCCTAGACTTTATTTTTTATGGTCTATATTCTTTAAAAACGTTCATTTTGACAACAAATTTCAGTAAATATGATGCCACACTATAATAATCTAAAAAAGTGTGTGGAAAAATAATGAGAACAGTTGAATATCTTGCCAATGGAGCGACAGAGGACGATCGACCTCGAAATTTTCAGGTACTAAGTGGCAAGTTCTTGAGTATAACACAAAATCTTGTCTTAATTTTGTACTTATCGGCCTAATAATTTAAAGAATTATATATCAGACAATCATTTCTTAAGCGGTACCCTCGTCAAATCAGTAGAAATGCTTTAAATTGAATGAATTCTTACCTTGTTTACTTTTTTTTTTCATTTCTCTCCGCTTCGTTAGTGCCCAATTTCCGGTGGCGATGATACACAGTGAATCAAGTAATGTTAAAACCACATTGCCGACTGAAACAACCACATAAAATAATGGTGAAACCACATCGAGTAATGACAAAACCATATTAAGTAATGACACAACTATATCAATTCAATACGAAACCATATCGTGTAATGTCGAAATATGATTAAGTAATGACTATTCCATATTGAGTTATATCAAAACATCATTACGTAAAGTCATTCATTTTGTTTAGTACGATTCACCAATTAGAATGAAACAATAATGATTAAAAAAAGGTAAATCATTTCGGAATCGCTGTGATATGAGACTGCAATCCAACAATACAAGCTAAACAGTTTTTATTGTCTTAATATCTTTCCTATTGATTTGTGATGCTCCTTAGTCTGGACCACACAAATTATTTGCATTGACAATCATAACAGTATTGTATTGTAAACGTTTGTAAAATACCAACAAAACTATCTTAGATGACAAAACGCATCCAATTTTTATCCTATGGGAGAAAAAAAATAATCCTATAGGACAAAGTTTATCCTAAATAAGAACAAAGTATCCTACAGGACAAAATTTATCCTAAGGGAGAGAAAAAAAATCCTGTAGGAGAAAAATTATCCTATGGGAGAGAAAACATCCCACAGGACAAAATAAATCCCTTAGGAGAAAAAATAATCCTAAGGGACATTTGTTTCTGAGAAAAAGTCGTTCATGATAATCCTATAGGATAAAAAAAAATCCCATCGGATTCAACACTTTTTTTGAAAATCCTACAGGATTTTTAAATCCCGAAGGATATTAATTTCATCCCATAGGAGATAAATTTTCCTATAGGATAAATATATCCGATAGGATTTGAATATCCCATAGAATATTAAAAATATCCTACGGGATTATGACTTTATCATATAGGATTTCATAAAATCCTGTAGGATTTTTAAAAATCCTATGGGAGAAAATAATATCCTACAGGATTTTGTCACTGTTTTCACTCCAGTTGCCGAAAAAGGCGAGCCACACCAAAATTTTTTTGGTATTGTTTTACCTATCCCCAGAGGTACATTATTGCCAAATTTGATGATTCTACCGTTAAAAAAAGTGTGGTTCCAATTTGCACTCATGAGAAGTGCAAATTAATCCAAGAACAGTACAGCAAAAATCAGTACTTTTACATTACTGAAAAAACCAGTACTGTTGCAGTACTAAAAAAATCAGTACTGAATTTACCAAAAGTAGAACATTAAAATTTTATCATGTAGCCGTTCAGTACTGATTTACAAGAGGGTAGAAATGTACAATAAGCATGTGATATAATTCTTGGTAGTGTAGTAATCAAACAAAAGAACTTTGCATAAAATGAAATTTTGTTTGTCAAATATGTCTGTTATGATAATGACATGTTTATGATACCATAGTGAGATCACAAGATTTTACCATCCCATTTATTTATCAATAGACTTAACATTAGATTTGACAGGATTGAAGAATTTTACCCTATTAGCTGTTTCAGAGGCTAAAAAGGTAACTTTGTCATAATTCCTCCATTCTATATTGTTTCCAAGTAACACTGTGATAAAAGGGCCAAAGTGGCTTTGTACATAATAAAATATGTTGTATCCAGTAGATGGATTATACTGTATTCATAATACAAAAAGAAAACGAAAATTAAAAAAACAGCCCCAGGTTTGTTGTATTGAGTATATGCTCACAACACTTTTAAGATCGAGTTACAGTATATGGGCTATGTCACAGATTTTGGTAAAATTTTACATACAACTTTTGCTCGTTGAAGTATGACTGAAAATCAAAAAAAAATAATGCATTTATTATCTCTTTTATCATCTGAAATGTTACTGATTGAATTCTTTCAAAATAGGTTAACATTTGTATATAAAGCACATAAAATCGGCGAAAAACTTCTTAAATTTCTTAAAATCATCAAATCTTTAATTTCTAATTTCTAATACCAAGATTTTTCTTGAAAAACTATATGTTGTTGATACATAAATTTCCTTTTCAACGATGCAAAATAATGATAGGATCACCTCCGAAGAAGCAAAACTGCACAAAGTTAAGCAATAGACTATTTTCATATTACCGACTTTTGACTCCGGATTATATAATTTGTCGACTGGTTACCTTGAACATCATGGTACCAAGTCAGGTAAGAGCAAGCTACAGAAGTAAAACCAAGCTTTCAATCGGTACAATTTTCGGGAAAAATTACCTGCTAAACATTTTTTTTTCACTTCAAAATCATCGGAAAATAGTAAACTTTCCCCTCAAATTACACCGATTATATGTTTGATTTTACTTATTTTGGTTGCTCTTACTTGACCGAGTACCATGATGTCCAAGGTTACCAGTCGACAAATTATATAATCCGGAGTCAAAAGTCGGTATTATGAAAATAGTCTATTTAAAGCCCAAAAATGTCAATTTTTATGTGTATTGCATACTAAAGCATTGATTAAGAAAATTGCTAGTAGGGAATCAAATTCTAACAGCAAAGACAACTATAGATGCAATTTATGCCAAGTTGTAGCATGCAACCTTGCTAAAATGATAATTTGATATATTCGCATGAAAAAATGTAAAACGTTTAATACTTAGGCTATTGCTTACAGCTAAATCATTCGGTAACAAGGGTTAGGCCGTTGGAGTACACATATAAGTTTTGTGTCGAAATGTTTTGGT